CCTGGTCTGAGGAGCTTCCTGCTTCCGCTGCATCATAAGCTCCGCCCACCAGGAACCATCAGAGAAACAAGCAGCTCCTTCTGCTTCATGAAGATCTAAGAGAACTTCCAGCTGATAGCAGCAGGTCAAAGGTCAGGCTGCATGAAGAGTCTCTCCTCATTCCAGAGGATCATGTGAGGAAGATTCTGGGCTCTATCAATCCACATTCTGACCTTTAACCTCAGTGGAACCACGCAGATGTTACGCAACTGAGCTTCAGGTCCGCATCAGACGGAACTGAAGATCCCAGTCTCCCCTCTGAGGCGGCGGCGCCCGGCGGCCGGTCGGGTCGAAGGTCAGGCCTGAGGCAGTGCGGTCCATGCAGGTTCTGCTGGCTGGACTCCCGCTCTGCCTGCTGGCGGTCAGCTGACAGAAACAAAGGCTTGATTCACATGCAGACCTCGTGCTTCTTGCATAACTTCCCTCTGAGCCGTCAGGTTTTAAACCAACCCACCATCAGTGAGGCCTTCTGGAGCTCCTTACGCTGCGGATCTGGATAAATGCTGGAAACAAACCTTCAGTTTGCAGAAAGATCCTAAAGTCTTCATCAGTCACCTAACAAGTCCAGCGGCTCTTCAGGAAGCGATAAAACGGATCAATTAGAGAGATTATCAAACATGTCTTCAAGTTTCAGATTTTAAATGATGTCATCTTTGCATCTTTAACCTTTATTGACGTCAGAAGTTCCCACAGCTTCAGCTTCTGGCTCCAGTTTTCCATCTTCCTGTGATTATTGGGTTTTTTAAACTCTGCGATTATTAAATGATTAATCCTGAATAATATGATGATGTCAGTGGAAACTGCAGTGAAGCAGGAGGATGAAGGATTAATAGGAGCTGTTTTCAGCGGCTGAAGGTGGATAATCTGGCGGTTTTCATTAGGAGCGTCACCGGATCTGAACCGAGGCCTTCAGAGTCAGTTTCTCCCTAAAACGGGATTATTAGCGGGGCGCTAATCTCTGCAGCATCAAACATCTGCTGTTTGTCCAGAACCAGCAGAAACACGTCATTCTGTCCTCTTATTGGTTTTCCTCAGAGAAATGTTCTGTTCCTGCAAACGCTCGGATAAAGCGGCGGCGGCGGCGGTCAGACTCAGGGGTCAGCTGAGTGAGCGCCAAGCTCACAAAGCTGGGATTCATGTCGGCCGCTGCTCCTCAGTAGAGGTCATTGTTGGACGGCGGTGAGTCATGCAGGACCAGAGCTGCCGCCACCCACCAGTACCGGCTGTTTACTGGGATAGAAATGGGTTCAGCTGCAGTAAATCTATGAAGCTTTTATCTCTGGATCATTTCAGGAAAGAAAAACTTTTCTTATTACAGATAAACATTATTTTTACCCAAACATTGGTAGGAGGTCATTAACAGACAGACAGACCTAAAGCACATGTTTGCTGATGACACAACAATAATATGGAGAAAATATTCAACAACTTGTAATAATGTTTACTCATTAAATGGGTAAGTTATAGGAATAAATAGTTATTGAATGTAGCAAAAATAAAATGCAGGATTTTTGCTAAGTGTGACTACATATCCTTCTTCCATCCTGCAATAATCGCTTCCTGTTTCCCCACTACTCACGGCCTAGGACATTTCTCCACAAGCAACTTCGAAACAAGCGCCATGCACCAAACGACCACACGGCTTCCAGTCTCGCTTCCGACCTTCCGACCTTCCGACCTTCCAACCTCCGCCCGTAATCCGATTCAGCTGTGTCAAAAATGGGGTGCATTAAAAAGTTGCAGGATAGTAGCTCTTGAGGACTGGACTTGAGCACCCATGATCTACGCAGACGCCTCATTGGACGTCGGCCGACGTGCCTAGAGGGCGGCCATCTTGGATCAGACCACAGCTGCTGTCAGAATGAACAGGAAGCTCCTTAGATCTCATTTTAATAACAAGGAAGAGATAATATTACCATAATCTCTGACACGTCACAACCTTTTAAAAGAGCAAAAATAATAAAAAGTTAGATTACAGATTAGAAACTATTTAAACTGACCTCAAACTGGATGAAATACATGCAAAGTTATATATTTTGCAATTAAATATTAATATGATAAACACAAAGTTTTATATTAATATATTATGAGAACATGTTTAACAGATAAATATTTATATAGTATATTATAAATAAAATATTCAGCATTTTAAGAATAGCTCTTTGATAAAGAGTATAATGATCAATAGAGGATATTTAGTTGTAAATCGATTTACAAAATAAATTTAAAGTTATTATTTTGTTCTTTTTTGATTAAATTTATGTTCATTTTTATTTATTTTTGTTGTGTCTAACTAACTATGTATTTATGTGTATAAACATACATGAACTGATGTTCAAATAAAAGTGAATAATGATTTAAAAAACTGTTTGAAGAAGTTTAGACAAATGGAAATGATTTAGTTGGACTTTAATTGTGTCCAAATAAATCATTCAGTTTGACAAAACATAAATTTACCATTTAGTACGATTTGACCAAAAAAGGTCTTGACAATAACAAAAAATACATAAAAATGAACATAAAATTTACATAAAAACCAAATAATTTATGTACTGTCTTTACTCTCTTTCATAAATCACATTACAACTAAGTTTCCTCTATAGCTCATAATACTCATTATCAAAGAAAAATCCTGAAAAATCCTGTATATAATAATAATAACATACTATATAAATATTTAAAAGATTTTTAAACATGATGTTATAATATATTAATATAAAGCTTTGTGTTTATCATATTAATATTTAATTTAATTCAGTTTAAATAGTTTTTAATGTGAATAAATATGTGTAATCTAACTTAAAGGTAATTTTAGAATTTGTTTTTGGTATTTTAAGGTGTTCTGACATGTCAGATTATGGTAATATTATCTCTTTCATATGATTAAAATGAGATCTAAGGAGCTGAACTGTGGTCTGATCCAAGATGGCCGCCCTCTAGGCACGTCGGCCTCGCTGCCCTCAGCCTTTATGTATGTAGCGTCCATGTGGAGAACGACCAGCTGTTGCGTAACTTTCGTTGTAGTTTTATATTTCCGTTGCGGGTTTTGTAATTGTGTTGACACCTCTGGGCCACCGTAGCAACTACATTTGAACAAGATCCTCATTTAATGATTTTCAGCTGACGCTTGTTTCACGTCAATTGTTTATATGTTTTGAAATGTGTAAATAAAGTCTTGTTAAAAGTAAAAATGTAAAGAAGAGGAAAAAGAAGTAGACCAGCAGGTGGCAGCACTCCGCAGTAATTGGTATGAATATGCATCTAAAAGAGAGGATGGGTAATATGGGGGAAAGCGAGAGAATAATGGAGCATTAAAGGAATTTTAGGGACAGATGGAGATTGGGAGTAAATTAGGGTCATTAATAAAGCCTTATTTTTTTTTACATAACAAATAATAAAAAAAAATAGAATATTGTAGATAGAACCTTAGGGCTACTCTTGTACAGTAGGTGGCGGTATGCATTTATAGGTTGTTTGCAATCCGCCGAAGAAGAAGTAGAAGAAGAAGCACTCCGCGGTTTATTTCAGCAGAAGAAGAAGTGTGTTTGGCGGATAGAGCAGAGCAGCCATGGCGATGATGACTACAATCCGCCTCCATCCTCCTGCTGGTGGCGTCACCTGAAGGTTTCTGTCCTCCTGAGATGTTTGCAGAAAGGTGAGCTTTGATCTGAACTCGATTTTACTTCCATGAGTTTGATTTAAACCTAAAGTTTGTGAAGCAGAAGCTGCAGCGTGGTGCTTCTCACCTCCTGGAGCAATGGAGCTTCTCTCAGCAGCTTCTTTATTAAAACATAATTTAATTAATGATGCAGCCGTTTCCAGCGAGGCTGAGCCTGCAGTGGTTCTGTCCTTTCCTAATCGGTCTGCTAGAGAGAAGAGGGGCCGTTTGAGGCCCTGCGGCGGCTGCTGGCTGCAGGGTTATAGGTAAACCTCCGACAGACGTTCAGCTGAACCAGCTGCAGAGGTTAAACGGCTCTGATGCTTTCAGGAGCAGTAAAGTAACGCTGCTGAAACTGCTTGATGATTCTTCCACATGTGGTTTATAGAATATTACCAGATGAATTACTGCTGGATTAATTAAAACCGGCTGCTGGTTTCTTGCAGCTCTCCAGCTGCGTGAGGATGGAGAGTCGGCAGCTGGAGGAACGTCATGAACGCCGTGAGGATTTCCAGTCTGTCGTGTTTCTTCCCTAATCGCTCCGCTGGAGAGAAGCGGCGCCGTTTGAATCTCCTGGTTCAGAGCTCTGCAGGACGCTGACTTCAGACAGAGGCGGTGATGATGCTGAGGCGTGTGAAGTTTTCCTCACATCTCCATCTGTTTCCAGGGACTTCTTCTCTACAGATTTACCTCCAACATCAAAGTTTACATTTCTGAGAACATTTCTGTTTCTGTTCCACAACAATAAATTGTTAAAACCCAGCATTTGTCTGAGCTTCATTGTTTGCCTTTCTACCTGCATGTAATGCTGCAGAGATCCACTGGGGGGCAGCGTTGTACCTGAATTAGTCGAGTCGCTGCTGTTAAAGTCGCTGAGGCTCCTGTCACACCTCAGTAATTTATCCAACGTCTTCCTGACGTCCCACAGTCTCCTAAAATGCTGGCATACGCTGAACGATCTGTGTGTTTCTATTCTGGGCGTTTATTCATAACGAGTTCAGAACTTCTGTCCAACAGCCTAACTTCTGCAGAACGCACGGCTAAATCATCAAGGTGTGACAGAAGTTTTAACTGGATATTTAGCTCCAGCGTTGCTAACCTGTGAACAGAATCAACTGTTCATTTTAGGATAGACTGTTTTCCACACAGGCTCGGTTTGTTTTACTGATTTATTGGAAGCTTTAGTTTCATCATAAATAAAAATAAAATCCCCGCAGCCGATTAAAAGCCTGAGGAAGAGATTACAGAAATACTGACGAGGTCCAGATCAGCTGATTGGATAAACAGGAGACCATGTGACTGACGGAGCTGTAAAAAGGTTCCTGTTGGGGGGCCATGATCTACGAGGGGCTCTCAGGGAAGGAGACTCTTTGGCGTGAGGTCCGGCTCCTGGCGGCCTGGGCGCTGGAGGCGGGGCGTTCGCTCTTGGGTTCGGACGGTTGAGTTTCGGCCTGCGGCGTGCCGGCATCCCCGACGAGCTCCCGCAGGAACTTGAACTTGGACAAGAAGAGCTGCCAGACGACGTACCAACCTGAGGAAGAGGAGGAGGAAGGTCTGGTTACTGAGAATAACCTCACAGCAGCAGAACGGACCAATCAGCTTCACCGCTGGGCAATATCAAGAAAACCCAACATCACAATATATCTGGGCTGTAACCGCGATACCCTTTAAAGATTACCTTTAAAACCAATAGAGAGAATTTAACTCCACTGATTAACTCATTCTAACTTTTGGTTTCTGATTTAAAACCTTTTTATTTTAACCAGATCAAAGCTTTTCTGCCACATGATGTCAGAATTAGACCTTTAATAAGATCCCAGCAACCAAACAGGAAACTAAACTTTATGGTTAATGAGCAGCGAGTGAAGTTTCCAGGATTATAACGAAGTACGCCTCTGATTGGTCGGTCTGATCGGTGTTTAGTTTATAAAACTGGAAGCAAAGACGCAGAGTTTGATTTTTACTGCAGCTCTAAAGCTGCGGAGCTAGAAACATGAACCTTCATCATTCTGGCATCTTCCAACAAAAACATCCTCATCTTCAGCACCACGCCGAGGAAACGACATCTGAGAGATTTATTTTGAAAATCTCAGGACGCCGTCCTTCCTGTGAAGCACTTTGGACCTGGAACACCGAGTCTTCTCATTTTAGTGTTTCTTTAATCTGAGATTAAACCCTCTGCAGGCAGCCATGATGGACCTGGTTGCTATGGTGATTTCATCTTTAAGAAAAGTGAAAACTGGAACCTGACTGCTTAACTTTCCAAACAGCGCCCCCTACATCTCTACTCTAGTTCCTCTCTATAACCTCCAGCTTTCTGTAGGATCTATGTTCTAGTATTAGAAGTAGTGATGTCATGAGATGAGCCGAGGCTTCCAGGCGTTCGTCGAGTAATGGAGGGGGCGTTTCCGCGAAGCGGGTGTCGAGGCCTGATTCGTTTAGAGGAGGGGCCAAAGTTAATGACGTCTGAGGCCTCGCTACCGCGATACCATGTGACCGCTCCGGGAAGTGGTTCAGAAAACAGGCGTTTAAACAGCCTCAGTGTTCAGGCCAGATGTGGGAGTCTGGAGGAGAGCAAACAGTGAAGCTTAAATTATTTTACTATTCTAAGACATTTTACACTTAAAAAGATATTATGCAGACCAAACATTAACAATTTCAAAGGAACATAACATCTTAAAACCCAGCGGGTCGCCGGCGAACTGCTGGGTTTTAAAGGAATAGTACACCCAAAACATGATTAGCCTTCATTTTCTACTCACCCCCATGCTGAACAACACTCTGGAGTACTTTTTTGATATCTCAAATGCATCTGGAGATCTGGGAGGCTTCTTGCTGTCTGCTGACATTCAAATAATGGAGGTCTATGGCGCCCGAGGCAGAAAGGTCCATAAAAGTCCACAAAAAACGTGTCAATATACACTGCTCTTTTCCCTATCCATAATTGTTTTTTGTTCTCTGTTGTTTTATGTTCCTGTATCTGTATTTTGTATTTTCATCGTCTTTTTATTTATTTTTTGTATTATTTGTAAAGTGACCTTGAGTGTCTAGAAAGGCGCTGTTAAATAAAATGTATTATTATTATTATTAATATTCCTCCATACTGCTCGTCCAATGTATTCCAAGTGTCCTGAGTGGGTAGCATCCAGAATTTACTCGAAACAAAGTCATTTAGAATGTTTTTAGAGCATAAACAGTAGTGTATAGGATTTCCTGAAAGCGCGTTCACGAGTCTACGGAAGCCGGCAGACCAAACCAGATGAAAGTGCGCATTCAGCTCGGCAAAGAACTCATGCTCTTCCTCAACACTGAAGTCCTCAGACATTTTTCTTTCGTTGTTTCTTTCTTTGCACAGGTAAACAGCACATTTCTTCTTCTACGCTTGCATTATTGGCAGAGCAGACGCTGAATGCGCACTTTCATCTGGTTTGGTCTGCCGGCTACCGTAGCGTCGTGAGCGCGCATGGGGGCGCTATTAGGAAATCCTATACACTACTGTTTAGGCTCTAAAAACATTCTAAATGACTTCGTTTCGAGTAAATTCTGGACGCTACCCACTCAGGACACTTGGAATACATTGGACGAGCAGTATGGAGGAATATCGACACGTTTTTTGTGGACTTTTATGGACCTTTCTGCCTCGGGCGCCATAGACCTCCATTATTTGAATGTCAGCAGACAGCAAGAAGCCTCCCAGATCTCCAGATGCATTTGAGATATCAAAAAAGTACTCCAGAGTGTTGTTCAGCATGGGGGTGAGTAGAAAATGAAGGCTAATCATGTTTTGGGTGTACTATTCCTTTAAGTGGGGGTAATAACTCAGAATGCATAAAGTTCCACCGGTAAATCTTTACCAGCAGGTGGAGCCATTGCACGCTACGTTCAAAACCCAACATCTGGAACTGTTATAGCTAGAGGTCTGAAATTTTCTGCATTTGCGGGTCCAAAAAAGATCCATCATTTCCGAGAATAAAAAAAACTACTTTGAGTCATTTGAACTGATGCAGGTTGATCTCATCCAATTTTAATTTATATATTCAGAAACTAGAGGGTGTTAGCTTTCAAATAATGTAATCTGGACTGACAGTCCCTAAGTTATATGCTTCCCATTTAAGTATGCAGAATAGGCGAGGATTACCCAAAATGAGGTGGAGGTTAAAAGGTTAAAAGGGGAAAAATGGAAAAACTGCTAAAATAAAATCCCAGATTCTATTCCTAACTGTAGTTCTGCACTCCACCAGTAGGTGGAGACATGTTCGCATGAAGCTTCATGAACTGTGGGGATAATTTGACCCAAACGGTTCAATGAGGCTTCATGTCACTGATTAGAAGCTGCTGCAGGTTCCGCTCTGACCTCCTGTTGCTTCTTTTTAAACTTGATCAGAGAAGTTTCAGAATAAAAGCTGTTTTATTGGGTTCAGTCTTTTTAAACCTACCGAACAGCATGAAGAGCAGCACGCAGAGCAGCGTCGCCATGATGACCAGCAGGGTGAGGCCGAGGTTCTGCCACATGTCTGCGGGGATCGCTCACTCTGCTAACCCCGAACAGGAGCTCCAGCAGCGGCTCATCTCACGCGGCCCACCGGGCCTGGGGGTTCGCCTGCCGGCCGGCGGTCTCAGACGGTCCGAACCCGGGACAGCAGAACCATGAGCGGCTTAAACCGGTTCCAGGAAGCTCCTCCGCTGGTTCTGATTCCTGAACTTTATGGAGCAGCAGAACCTGGACCCGGTTAAACAACAACAGCAGCCCGGATGGACTGCGGCTGCGCGGCTTCCCGCGGACTTCTGGGTGCTGTAGTTCTATAGTGCGGACTTCTGGGCGCTGTAGTTCTATTGTTAGCATCACCACCATTAGCTAGCTGCTGCTGCTTCTTCTTCTTGTGTTTTATGGCGGTTGGATAACTAGTTAAAGGCGCATTAGCGCCACCAACTGATAAGGAGTAAAAAGAGGAAACGAGACTCACCCCAGAAAACTATTTGTTTTATCACAACATAATGTAATAAATGATCAAATAATAATAATTATCATAATTACTATTCTGTCCTTATGCTGACGTCACTCTGCCAGTCTCTGATGGTCCTACTGGTTTTCCCATCAGACTTTCTATCATTTCCCAGTTTAAATCTTTCACTTTGACGTATTTTTCTG